CCCGGACCGGGACCAGGGATCAAACCTACAACCCAGGTAAGTGCCCTCGACTGGGAATCAAACCCCTGACCTCTCGGTGCCCGGGCCAACGCACTAACCACTGAGCACACCGCTCAGGGTTCTTTTATTTCTTCTCCACGTTCACCCAGAATGTGCCTCCCTGTTCAGTTAGGGGTGATGACAACTGGGACCTCACTCTGCCAGGAACTCAGGGCGCCCCCTTGAAGCGGGGACGGTGGCAGTCCAAACGCAACGATGTTTGACGGACCCCCAATACAAATCACACTGGACGATACTCATCACTGACCCATCAACGATCGGACACAGAAGCCACTTCCCCGGAAAGACGCCCTGGAGCAGTTCGGGCCCGTTCTGTCCTCCCAGGTTCTGAACTTGTAATTCAGAGATGGGATTCCTGACTGCACGGGAGGTCTCAGCCTTCCTCGCGGGCCACCGCGTTCCAGCTGCCAGCCTCATGCAAAGCATTCTGGGCCTTTCAGGTAAAGGCCTTATCCAGCTCATGCCAGGTCCTCACGCCCCTGCACCCTCACACCCAATAGGCCCTTTTGTCTTTGACTCGGGGACGCACTGACACCCCCGAGTTGGCATAGAGGTTATTTTTCCTTGTCTGCTGTGATATTAGTCGTAAGAGTTATACTTGTTCTTTTGGCTTTTTTCTTTTCTTTTTAAATATATTTTAAATATCTTTTGTTGACTTCAGAGAGGAAGGGAGAGGGAGAGAGAGAAACATCAATGATGAGAGAGAATCATTGATCGGCTGCCTCCTGCACGCCCCCTACTGGGGATGGAGCCCGCAACCCGGGCATGTGCCCTTGACCGGAATCAGACCTGGGACTCTTCAGTTCGCAGGCCGACGCTCTATCCACTGAGCCAAACCAGCTAAGGTTGTTTGGCTTCTTTCTATATAGGCCAACTCTTTGTGATTACTGAACATGTATGAGAACTATTTTTAAAAAGACTATTTTGGTCCTGGCTGGGCAGTTCAGTTGATTAACACCAAAGTTGCGGGTTCGATTCCCGATCGGGGCACTTATAAGAATCAACCAATGAATGCATAAATAAATGACACAACACGTGGATGTTTCTCTTTCTCTCTCCCTTCCTCGAGAATTCATTGTTTAAAAAAGATTATTTTCACCTTGACCGGTTTGGCTCAGTGGCTAGAGCGTCGACCTGCGGACTGAAGGGTCCCAGGTTCGATTCCGGTCAAGGGCATGTACCTTGGTTGCGGGCACATACCCAGTAGGAGGTGTGCAGGAGGCAGCTGATAGATGTTTCTCTCTCATCGATGTTTCTAACTCTCTATTCCTCTCCCTTCCTCTCTGTAAAAAATCAATAAAAATATATTTTTAAAAAACCATCCAAAAAGAGTATGTTATTCAATAATAAAAAGTAAACATTTAAATTCTGACTCCTAAGTTAATTCCCTTAATACAAGTTAGTTGCCTATAGACAGATGCCTTGTTCATAATCCTATATAATAAAAGCATAATATGCAAATCGACTGAACAGAGGAATGACCGGTCAGCAGAGGGTGGGGCCAGCAAGCAGGTGGCACCAGGACAGCCAAGGCATGTGCCAGCAGGCAGAGG